GCGCCGTCGTTATATTTACACGTAAATTGATCAAATTTCGGAATCCACTGCAACACTTCGAGGGAGGTCGGCAGTCACTGCTGCTGCTGTGACGGCAGCGGCGGCGGCGGCGGCATAGTTATCAGGGTATGATTTATTATACACGCATATCGGCTACTTAACCAGTACACGTCGCCGAGCGGCTTCCTACGTGATTCCATTAACAAATTGTGTGTCGGAACGACCGCGGCGGCGACGGCGACGGTGAAAAACAGAAGCGAGTATATTATATATACCTACACACATACCTATACACTGTGTAGTTATATATACAGATAAAACACGAGGAGTGTTAAAACGAAAAAATAAAAAATTCCTCTGTCCTTATCTACCGGGTGTAATGGCGAAAAGCACGGCGGTATTTGTTATCTTTTCCCAGAGAGTCAGTGCCAACAAACCACACCCAAAACGCGCTCGTGTATATGTGTGCATGGCGTGTATGTGTGTGTGGCATTGAGGTATAAGTACTGTTTTTCTTTTTTTTTTTTTTTACCTACTTTTTTTGTGTTTTAATTCTTTTTCATTTCGTACCACCCGTTCGTGCCCAAAACCCATCCATAACCATCTGTCTGCCGACCAATACGGCGGCAGCTATACCACGATTACCACGATGACGACGACGACTACGTGTCAGCTAGTTGACCAAAGGGAATAAGGGTGTTGTATAATATATATATATAAAGCACGTAATATTGTATAAAAGTATGTACGCGAAAGTGCAAAAAAACTAACAACAAAATTACGGATCAGTGTTACCAACCTCTAAAGACAATAGAAATTTTCATACACTTATTATTCGAATAATATAGGTGCCTAATAGTAAAAGTATACAAAATAATAAATTCAGATTTTTTCAACTAATTTTTCAATTCAGAATTCACAAATAACGCCCAAAACCGAAACTTTTGAAATTTGTAATAAATACCATACTTCAAAACAAACCGTGCACATTTTTCATAACGCCGAAATATACACACACACAATATAATATAATAATGTAATATGTATATTTAAACACGCCAGCAGCTATAATTTTAATGGGTAAAACTATCGTCGTATTTATTGAACCATCTTAATATAAATATAATATTTACATTATATATAAACAACGAGTTACGAAATAACTCGAATTTGCCAATAAAAATATAAGCTTGAGGATAATTTTAAAAACTTAATATCATCATACGCATATATTAATGTAAGTTAAGTATAATTTTACTGCGTGTAACGCATTAAGTATACCCGAAGAGAATTAAAAAGACAAGTCTATTTTAATAAGCGAAAAATATATAATAACAAAATTTGTTTGATGTCGAAAATATGATGATAAAATTCGTTAACGACCGAAGAATAAATATTATCGTTATAACTAGCGCGTTTTATATCTAATAATTTAAAGTTAAATATATATATATACATATAGGCATTTTGGAAATTTTCCAATTGATGACCTGACATTTTTGGTTAAACGATTAATTTTTTTCACACTTTCCTCCGCGTAAAATGTTATTTGTAGACTAATTTAATCTTACACAAACACGCGATATACCCATTTGGCATTACACAAAAACGTATACAACATATCTTAATCAAATTAGATGATAGATTTTTTTCATAAGACTTTTTTTTTTAAAAGTAGATGATATACCTACATAAAATGTATTTGAAATTATATTACGCGAGATTGCTTGTGTATAATAATGTTTTACTAAAGTCTAATAATACCAGCTACATTTACAAATACATTTATAGCTATAGCTATCGGTATATAGGTATATAAAAGAATAACAAATAAGATTCCGTTTGAACACGCAAAAGTTACAGATTTACAAAGGCCACCAATATGGCCGACATAGAAATCGTTGTCGTTGGATATACGCGCGAGAGTATAGAGAAAAAAAGAATTAACCTACTGAAAAGTGGACAAAGCTTTTAACGTAACACTTTTTCCTTTTTTTTTTTTACAGCGTTCCGGTTCGGAATAATGTGTAAGTGAAACAATATTACACAGGGGTCGTGAGCGAAAAAAAAATCGGCTTTCCGAAGGGATAGTCGTACTGGCTTTCATCATTATCATCAACATCGATAACACGAATCGCCCATTATATGGAACTTTTTTTTCACCCCATCCGCGCACGAATAATAATATGCAAACCCGGCTATTTTTTTGCAAGATGAAAACTCGTAATGGTGTTTAAAATATTATTATTATTTTTCAATGGAAAAATCGTCGGCTCTCTATAATATATAAATAAACGCGATATGGTTTTTTATAAACATTATCCGGTCAACCGACGGCACACTATATAATATATACTACACCGCCGGAGATAGACTTTTATTCATTTATTTTATTGTTGTTGTTGTTGTTGTTTTTGTTTATAGTATATATGTGTGTATTTTTAATTATAAAGCACTGCCCGGTAAGCATAATACTATAACGTCCGTCCTAAATAAAAAAATCGCACCTATATTTATATATAATATATATAATATAATTACACAATATTACCTATATGCATTATACACTTGCAGACAGAAAACATTACTATAACAACATAACGTGGGGGGTATTAAACGGAAAAATAATAGCAAAAATTGTTCATCGCCAATATATTATAAATATATAGGTATATCGAATAACATATCCTAATTCCTATAGCGTTGCAACGGTACCCTTATGTGTACACATATACATATATTATTCCCATTCAGTCAACCGATTGTCATAATACGATGTGGGACGTATGTTATTTTATATAATATTATATAGTATTAGTAGTATAATATTATTATATATTTATATTGAACTTGTAAAGCTTCTAATCGGCTGGAATCATGTTTCGCAATTCTAAACAGCCACGCTATAAGCCATATTATCTATGTGTATGTTACATACACATATATATTATAATAAATGAGATCAATTAAACACGTACACTGTAAACAAATACATAATTACATTATTATTGCGTATAAAATGTTTAGAACGGCAAACAATAGTTTAAGAAAATATACTTGATTGTAAAATACAATGAAAAATTAAAAAAACTGACGTAACTAAACGATTTTGTATGGATCCAATAATTTAGACGCAAAATTAAATATACGAATAAAAACCGTGTTGACATATTGTTTTTAAACAATAACGTTGATATATATATATAGACATACATACGTTTTAATTGTGTGTGAACGGCGCGAGGTGATTAAAAAGGTTAACCGTAATCAAAAGTCTATTTAACACAAACGAAAGACGTTCTTTAAAAAATAACAAAAACAACATTACCGGCTATGTCTCAAAATTAACATTCTATATGTTCAAGAATAATTAGAATTTGTAATGTTGTCTCATAACATTGTCTAAAATGTATATTGTATAGGTACCTATAAGAGTATTACGCAAGTCGATTATTGGTAAAATACGATTAACATAAATCTATAAGATATAAAAAGTTTAATCATTTATAGTTCGCCATATAAATATAAATTTAATAAATTAAATAAATATGTAAGAACATTTGTTTTAGAAATACTAAAATCGTAATTAAATGAAGAAAACTAACTTAACCTACGTAAAAATTTTACTAGAAGCCAATTACATTACAGCATATTATATAGTTACATGGAAGTAGATATACAATATATAATTATACATTTATACGTTAATTTTGCGGGGGCGTTTAATATACTTTATGCAAAAAGTTAAAATAAAAATGAACGTTGCATTATGCGCTTATAAATAATGTTTTTACTACATATGTACAATGACATAATATAAAGTAATAGGTACAAGGGTATAATATGCGCACAGAAATTATTATTAACATTAACTTAAAAAAATATTTTATAGTTATTTGAAACATATGTACAGCAAATAATAAGTATATACATATATAACTACGAATGTCAGAATGAATATTGTAAACAATTTTTTTTTTTTTTAATGCATGAAACATAATATTATCCTAGCAAAATTACAAAATCTAAAGTTTAAGCATGTTAAATTATGCTTGCGTGTTGTACATTATTTTCTATGCAATACTGTGTATCTGTGAGTATAAGGTATATACTATTGTAACATAAGACATATATAAGATCAAACGATCATGCATTAGTAGGTACATATAATTTATTCAACTATACATAGTAGAACATACCTGCGCATAAAAATATTTATATATTATATACACCTACCTACAATACAGAATGCGTTGACGTATTAAAAAATTACATCTAATAATTGCATATTGCACTATCGGGTTTAATTTAATTCAACGTGGTAATAGGAACGGACGTCAAAAGCGTCGCATGTGCGCGAAACCCGTCGATGAAACAATTGCAATTGAATTCATTATGGAAATCAAAAAGCATAGTATACTTGCATTTCATAATATAACATGGTATTTTGCTAAACGATTGAAAACGTATTCATTATATCTTTATGTAAATATATATCACTATGACGGGTGGAGGTATAGCGACGGCGTCCATTTTTGTAAGCACTCGTGACGTCGAAGGACGAATAGGTTTAACGAATAAAATACACCACATTATAGACGAGACGCGTACCGCGCAAGCCACGGCGTGTACGACGGACACGGAAAAAAAAAAATTGAACATTAACCGCGGTGGTGTACTGTACCTACCCTCTTCCATCCCATCGGCAATCCGTATACGCGTACCTATATATATTTATATATTATATTACATTATATTATATAACATACGGACCATTCCTATTGGACGGACGACAGTTCGGCGCATTGTTGTTTTAGGTGAACAACATATATATATATATATACAATAATACATACGTGTGTACATACATACATAACTCACATCGAACACACACGCACGCGTAAAATAATAAAATATATTGTTATGCCACAGCCCTTATATAACCCTACTATATAGAATATATATATATATGTGTGTGTGTATTTTTTGGGGGTACTCACCCGTTGAAAGGGTACCCAAACGCCGCGTCGTAGGGGTGATAGACCGAGTGGTACGGCCATGTAGCTCCAGCTGCCAAGTTCTCTTTGAGATCAAGTCCCGCTGCGGCCTGCGCACATACAAAAAATATATAATGTAATATTAATATAATAATAAAAATAATATATATTATTATCATATGCATACAATGAGCGTTATTAGGGTGAACTCGTTTATTAACGTTACTATAACACAAATAATATAATAAGAGTGTATAGTACCTATACCCACGTAGGTATATACCGTGGTCGTTATACACACACGGACTAATGTGTACACTATATATATATATATATATATTGTATATGTTACATGGGTATGGAAGACTCGAGTATGTACCTAATATAGATTTTGTAGGTATATATAAGCGTCTATATGCGCGACAATGGATCACCGCGCCGTCACTTCACATGTATGACGCGACATGTAAATCACATATATATATATATGACACGGACGTGACGTGTCGGAATATAAGTTTTTTGTCCGTTCCATTATATATCCCTCGGCGCGAGTATAAAAAATCCGATGTATATTATGCTAATTGTATCGTTTTTATATAAATATCTTTACATATATATACATACTTTTTGTGAAAAAATAATACCGTTGCATATATATATATATATAAAACATAGGTGAATGTGATTTCGTGAAATCGGTTTAGTATATTACAATTTAAAATGGTATACACATATATATTGAACGAACTGGAGATATATTATATTGTTATCTTCTCGATAAATATGAAATATGTTTATGAATTATGTTAAGTGATACATTAAAATATTATAAATATATGCGAATTTACAAACATTTATATGCATACACAGACAGACAGTCGTCACACACCTACACACGGAATGTACGCATCCGCGGGACTAGCGATTTATGAAACGCCCGTAAACGCGTATTCTATATAATATAATATTATTGTGTAGGTATATCTATACATATATATATATAATATATATATGCTATTAAACAGGTATATAGAATATTATAAGATAAACCGGATGGAAAACAGGGTGGACCAGAACGAGCAAGGGATCGAATTGCGTTAAGAAACTCTTGGCGTAAATAGGTTCTAAATAATGTTATGATATATTATATTATTTTTACGCTCGGGCTTCAGTGGCGTACGCGAGTTATGTGTCGAACACACGAGAATCGTGTTTAAAAGGTTGTTAACACACGAGGTAAATTTTACGGAGTACACAAGTACGTAATAATATGCCGTCGCCATTATATACGTATATTGTACGATATACCTACAGCAGGGTACAGATAAAATAAACAACCGAAATAGTTTTCTTAAATGATAATATATTGCCCTTGAAAATTTTATCACGTTATAAACACACATAACTGCAGCGTATACTACACGCAAAGGTATAAATAAACAATACTAAATATATAATTCCCCGCAATTACTATAAATGTTGTTTAAAATTGCATAGCAATGCGTAAAAGGTACATTATCGTTTCGAATAAGTACGATGCGTTTCTGGTATATATAGGTACGTTTCAATATCGATAAATTTAAATCGAATCGTTCGTGTTTTGCTGATTATAGTACAGATAAAATGTCGTGGAAACGCCTGAGCGTGATTTTCGATTTAAAATAATAATTATAATATCTATAACGTAATCCACGTTGAATTAGTGTTTTTAAACATTCGGTACAGAAAAAACCCCTCTAATCGTACAGTGACATCGACGCCTATATTTATATATAAATATATAATTAAATTTAAAACAAAATATTTCTGTGAACATTCGATCGGATATACCAAGCGCAGCGGTGTAATCACAGCCGTTTGTGTGCAATATTATACGTCATATAGCTGGTAATTAAATAATAATAATAAAATAATATTTTAATCACTAATGAAACGTATATATAATATATACGCATTAAACGGACCCCACTGCACGCAAACAAATCCCCGAGTCACATACAACGGAATTACAGAAATACAAATGCCTATATATATACAAGTGATACGACTTGAGGTGGGTAAAAGTGTTAGAGTAACCGACATTTTCAAAAGACTTTTCGGCGGGAGGTGACATCTCGACATCGCCGCGTCTCCTTCATCCGGCCGTTACGCCGGGTGAAAATAACGTAGTTAGTTCCGACGACGTCTTGCGTCGTCCGCGTTTAGTATATGTTAATAATAATGATATGCGAACAGACTTACAGCAGAGTAAAACGGCGGCTGATCAGAGCCGAGGGCCGGGAAGTAGGCGGCCATGCCCTCGGGGTACGGTGCGGTGTACATGGACAGGGCCGGAACGCCGGAAGCGGCCAGTCGCTGGTAGCTGAGCAGGTCGTACTGGCACGAGCACACCGTCTGCCCGGTGATGGGGTCGGTGAATATGGGCCGGCCGGTGTCGCAGCACCTGGGTGGCGCGGCGGCCGCGGCCGCGGCCGCGGTGGACGTGCTGACCGTGGCTACGGCCGTGGTGGGACTGCCGCCGACGGACGACGGTGCCGTGGACGACGGCGGCGGTGCCGCCGGTGCTGCGGTCGGTGGTCCGCCGACGGTGGACCGCTGTTGGTGCTGCGGCGGCGGCGGTGGCGGCGGCGACGAGTTGTGGCCGGCTGCGGCGGTCGAAGACGGCGGTTGCGGCGAGACGGACGTGTGTCGCCGGGCCGCGGTGAGCGATAGCTGTAAGGGCGGCGGGCTAGATGACGACGACGAAGACGTGTGCGGCGGCTGCGGTAACAGAGACTGCGGCGGCGGTGCTAACGATGCGGTCTGCAAACGAAAAATCTATAATAAGTAAATTATAATTCATAAACGTATATACCTAGGTATATAAATACAATATCATGCGTCGTCGCGATGTCATCGAGTACTAAACTATACATAATATCATATTGTATTTTCGTGAGCTGTGAACTTTTGACACACGTTTTTAATGTCGTATATGTACACTAACTATATGTACACTTGCAGTCATACGCCGTTCGATTCGAGATCTATAATATTATAATATTATAATAATTGTGTAGGTACCTACTAGGTACGTAGGTCGCGGCGGAACAGAGTCGCGAACGTCGGTGGGAGGTGTGCGTGCGCGCAGTGTACACTGTACAGAGTTACGTATACTTAGAAAATTTAAGAAAAAGCGTTATCCAAAAGTACCTATACCTATAAATTTATATATTGGCGCACGTCTATTCCGCACAGAATAATATGATGACTATATACTACACAATGCCATCGATGATGTAATAACAGGAGGACGCGCATGCGACACGAAGTAGGTACAACGCACGTAACGTGCGTATACCTGAGCGACAGAATAAAAAAGTACATAACATACGACCATACATATATATGTGTGCACGTATACTCCTAAATATATATATATGAGTGAGTGTGTGTGTGTGTGTGTCGACGATAGACCAGAGTCAACGATCCGTATGATTCGCACCGTTAAAAACCGCGTCGTATGTAACATATATTATTATTGTTGTTGTTATAATATTATATTGTTAGGTTTTTCGACAGTTGTCGTCTGCTGTAGCAGCGGTCGCCGACGAGAGGTGTCACACGGATGATTGGATTTGGACGGGCGTCACACACAAACACTTAAAATAATAATATAATACGGCTGTAGCGGTGTGTGCAAGAGGACGTGATTTTTGACGTTGAACAATATATAATATTATACGCACAATGATATTTTATTTTTAAGCAAGAGCCGAGTGGTATGAAATGTTTACGCGACGGATTGGACGGACGAAAATCGTGTACGCGCACACCTACCTACAAAGGCACACGATATATACAGACGTATGCGATTCATGTTATATGAGTGACAAGCCGACCGCGTGTAATACGGCGCAGTCATCGCTGTACATGAAATAATGGGTAGTTATTGCAGTCGACGTACACCGCGCGAAGTCCGCGGGTATAACGGTACATCAAGACCTATTAAATATATATATATAGTTATGCATATGTTTCGACGATGATTTTATATGGGCGCACGCTCAAAAGGGATGTGGTGTAGCACATATCGCATATAAATTTATATGCGTTTATATCGTATTGTACATATTATTATTTATATTATATATAATATTATACTCGATAACCTAACCGACTACTGAACGATTTCCTTTGGATTCGCATCCCTAACCCCGTATATAGTGGTATATATATTTTGCGGTAGACAGCGACGGATTTACACCTGTATATACCTATATATATATATATGTATATACATAGTAATATATGGTCTATATATTATATTGTCGATACCGTAAGGAAACAGGATATGGCTATCGATATAGTATTCATAATGTACATGCAGGATTTGAAGAAAATCATTTTTTTACCGAATCCGCGGGCATCGTAAAACCACGAACGTATAGGTGCACGCGGTTAGATATTTGTGATTGATATGTGTAGATGTATTATAATATACGTATTGTACCTACCTATCCGTCATGCTTAACACATGGGCATGTATACTGTACCCGCCTATGAGAGTGGCCCGTTCGAAAATTCCCGTTACAAAAACTTCAGAGACTTCGTATGAGAATTGTTTGTTATGGATATCTTCATAACAATTTTTGGAACACGAACCGCTCGTTTACACTACACAACAAGCGCGCATTTTTAAAGGGATAGCGTCTGGGATTGACGCGGAAAAGCGAGAATTTGTTTTAAAATCAATGCGTGTATTATACGACTCGCACATGAAGTCGCTGATAAAACGAAATTTCGTCGTGAAAACTGGAGTCCCCAGACGTTTGGGTATGGTCTGATATTAAAACACTTGTACATGTACAGGATATACGTTTTATTATTGGTTACAGTGTGTCATTAAATATTACTGCAGAGTCGCTTAGACACACACCTCCATAAATTCTATAATATTATTTTATATAATATAATATAATATACGAAAGTAGAACGAATGGCGGCAACCATTTACGCTCCTCCTACCCAATTGCATATTGTACGCAATGAGCCCGCATATATTAAACATATTATTGAAACATATTGAATTACAACTTTGAACACAATACATTCTGTTTATTTAAGTCTTCCATTTTATATTTGAATCCGGACATTATATTATATTATGTTTATTAAAATATTACGCAATAAACTAATGCTACGATAATGATGCGTACCCGAATTTATTATTTTACGGTTATGACTTATGATTTGCTTGTAGACAACACTCTGTACCTTAAAATATCTCAAATTTCCTACTGCAATAATATAGTTAAAATAAATTATATAACGGTGTGTTATTAAACTGTTAAAATTAAATTACGCTTTTACATAATATACATTCTTCATATTTTTTGTTATAGTATTCATAATTTAAGAAATACTATAAAACTGATGATTCTAATTTAAAATAAATATTAAACATTTTTATTTTATAAATAGGAACTAAAGTAGTTTTACGGTCGAAGTTAATAAGTTACACTATTATCGAATAGATAAAATAACATTCGTTTGTTTCATTCCATTACAAAAAATTGTAAGTATAGACACATGTCTACGAATATGTAAGTATAATGTATATACTAACTACAATACACTGCGATAGAATTTCAATTAAAACTACGGGTTGCTTAATATTTGTAATATGACAATTTGAAGTTAAAATTTATTATATACAAAATAAATTACGTTAAGAAAGTATAAGATCCATATTAATATGATCGTGAATATTGATTAATATGGATACCTATAATGAGTATATATATTTTACACATATAGATACCTATATAAAAACTAAAAATTGTTTTCTATAAATGCATATACCTACCTACATTATGTTTTTGCAAAAGGTAGGTAAATCTACTATAGTTGGTAATAGTAAATATTCGAATAAATTCAAGAATATTAAAAATATTTAAATATCAACACGAGCATTATTTCGTATATCCCTAATATCATAATATACATACTTATATATATATTTAAATTATACGTTTATTTTCCTATTTAAAGCGTTTAGGAATTATACATAAAATTCTTTATACCATCCTACCTATAGATACAGCATACCTACACATGTTGCAGTGTCTGCATGATGTATATAAGATGACATATTTCGTTTAAACTTATCTAGTCGTTTCAACGTTTTACTCGGTGCAGGGTAAATAAATAAATATTTCACTCAGCTGAGTATATAGAACTTCACACGACTATAAGTCGGATATTAGATTTCGCGTGGTGCAAACATCGTTCACGCTGGTTGTCGCCCACGCGATAATCCGTTTGCGTGTCAAAAACAAATAAATATACACGCTATACATACACATACACATATATATACACTATAATCTACACTTTTCTCAAAAAAGAGGGGTCGCAGTAATGCAAAGGCGATAACTCAAGAAAAATCACATAAAAATAATATACATATATATATTTGGTTATAATATAACACCAGAGTGGGGTGCGAAAGAGGGTATTATATAGGAATCAATTTTTTTCGCAAGTACCCACTTATATATACACATAATATATTCATCTGTTTTGATTGAATTTCCGAAAACAATATTATATAGGTGTACCAATAACCAAAATACATATACTTATATATACTGCAGTGACTTTGTGTTTTTTATAATAATAATCTAATTGTTTGTTCTGGCCTATAGATCGCCGCGGCAACGCGTACGTATATTACCTGCATAATTTTTACATGTCGACGTATATACAACGTGTTAAATTATATTAAACAAACGTAATGTTTTAAAGTCTATATACGTACACATTAGGAAAATAATATAGTAACATACACAAAGCGGACACTATACAAGAGTTTTCGGGCACGCGATAAAACGATCACCGTGCATATTTTACCTATATATATATTATTTAGTAGTAATATTGGTTTAAAATCGAAATTCCGTTTTGACCAGAGAACGTCGGTCAAAGAAAAACGTAACATCACACTAAGAGAACTTTCGGAACTATATAATTTGTATAATGTACACAATATGATTATATGAATAGTATAGGTATATATGTATAGGTAGGTACACATAATGTACGGCGTAGTTAGCGCATGTTTTTGAGCGTGACGATTATAAATTATATTATATTTATAAACGAGCCGGCGGTTTTGTGCACACGCGAAAGAGAGCAAATGAACGAAAAAAAAAAATAACAATAACAATGCCTATACGACCTGTTTTGCCGTCCTAATTAGAACTACCACGCTGGTTATTAATAATTAATAAGGTGACTCCATATACCTACACAAGAAACCTATTATACAAATGTTTATAATTATTCATGTACCTATACATTATGCGTTTGATAAAAACGAGACCCCCAAACACGGATACCAATAGTCGGTGTGTGTATTATATAGAAGTAAACGCGTAGGTATTACACGATCTATTTATATAACAAATCGTTTCTTTTATTGCAAATTAGAACCGAAGAAAAAATGGATATTGGTATCATATTATTGTACCAAACATATACCTATATATTTATACATTTTTTATACAAAAACACGCTGTAGTGTGCTGTTCGAAGTATTAGGTAAAATATTATGCCTACATACCTACATTTTACTTATGAAATGTACGACGGACGACGAAAACGGAAATCTCAAGCGTAGGCGCCAAAATATATTGTCGTCGTGTAATTTATACGCCACTATATGCGTTGCGTATGATGTGTCATTGCGGGTATTACTGTATAATATAATAATAATATGACGTTTTTTTTTCGATTTCGATTGTTTTAGAATTTTTTCTTTTTTTTTTTTGTTCGTCGAGACGGCAGAAATGATACAATAGAATGAAATACAAATTACAAACTATTGAATCAATAAACGTGATATTGTTTTGGGGCCTCGATTGTGTATAGGTCAGTAGGACCGCTGTCGCCGCATTACCATTTAGTATTCAACGTGTAATTTGTTTTTCAGCCACCGTACGACACACAATACACACACACATATACACGCATACAATTATACCGGGTTTTATATTATATTATTAAACAGTCGCGGCCAAACAATAATTATAATTTATAATATTATGTACATGTTTATATGATATAAACACATAGGTATAAGTATACACAAGATAAATATATAATAATATGTATAGGTATATATTATTATATAATATTAAGTATTACTCTAGTATATATATATACAATGGATTCAACACACATACCGTATACATTATATATACCTATGTGTGTGTATTATAGTGGTACACAATGTATATCGTATAAGAAGGCGGCGCGTGCTTAATATTATTATACCTTTGTACGGGTACAATATATGCCGCCGACCGTATAATATTATTATAATGCAGTATACTGCGATGTCGCCGTTCGTGAGGAAAATGATGATGTACCGTGCAATAATAAAGATTAGTTTTTTTGGTCGGATTAAAATTGCAAAAAAATTACAACGAATTTTTGACCGTGCGTATGTTATATTGTGTGCGCTGTCGCTTCGTACGATATCGCGTGCGGTATATATTATATAAAACGTTGTGATCGACACACTGACGTGTAAAACTAAATCAATAACAATTAAAACGATTAACTATTCCTACTTAATATTATTTATTAATTTATCTATATATACAGTGTGTATTTAATACGATATTTATCATAATATTGTTACTTACAGGACCTCTGCTGTAGACTAGGAACATTGTACATTCGAGCGTAGCACACAAATTTTACAGATATTTAGTATAACTTAAAACGTTCGCAGATAATAATATATTATAATAATTGCGATTGCTTTATGATTTAAAACGCGAAAGTGTGTTTATGATATATAGAGCGTTATTACTTATACATTGTTAAACTGCACTCCGGTATAGACACACGCGAACATCATGCACGAGCAACGGACGCGCGTCTAATGATGCATTATGTGATGGGTGTGTTGAATATAATATTAATAATAAAATTATTATTATTGTTGTCGGGGTGGGCGACCGGCGCGCTGTGTAGATTGGCCGCGGCGGCTTTTCCCGAGATAACCAAAATCGCGAGTATTATTAAATCACAGACGCGTATACGTGCGTACGTATATTTTACAACACCGCGTATATATGTATTTCTGGTATCCGACGACTGACACAACCACAGTTTAAACAACGGTTGACGGAAATTTCGGAAAAATTAAACACTATACACCGATGTTGTATATGTATAGGTACACTAGATTACGTCGGAATTTTATCGGTTTTTTGTTTATAAACACATACTTATATACGTGTATAATGTGTATGTAAATCTATATATACGCGTAGAGGATATACCGCCATATCTGTGGACGCACACTCCAAAATAAAACCTGCAGTTATAGGTATATAGGTATTATAGGTACCTACAATTATTAACAGTTATTTGTAGACATTTTTTCGCGTTAATATTTATAGCCTAAAAGATTTATATTATTGTACACAGTCTTACAAAAAAAAAAAAAAATGTACATATAAACGATCGTTTTCACGATAGCCATAAATCATAATTTATGACTATATATAGGTAACTATTAGGAACTTATTATAAATCTATAATATTTGAGTCTCGATTGCCAATAGTTAAAAAATGCGCACTAAGTTGATCCGTAAACTGCAGACTTATCGAAAAAACTGCGTAAAGTAGGTATATTTCAACTATTATTTTGATAAATATCTAATTCTCATATGATGTAATAGGTAGTAACCTAACAATGTGTTGGTACCTATAACCGAAATGTTTATAATAATGATTGTGTATAGGTAAATTATTATAATAGTGTTTTTCTCGTGGTTTTAGAATGCTTTTAAAAGTGTTGATTTACGCATGTTTCAATAAATACTATATATGTATTTAAAAATTAGATAGTGTCTTAAGATATCTACATAAATACGTAATATTTAGTTATTCGTATAATATAATCAGAACGAATTCGAGATAATGATTTTCTTTCGCAGAAAGGTATTATGACTTATTATGACTGAAACGTACTTAATAAAAAAATTCTAATTAAACATCCCACTTCAAAACATTTGTAGTATTATCGAGTTTTATATGAAATTTATATCTAAATCATGTGTAACAAGTGTTTCGTAGTTAGTATAACTAGTACCTACCCAATAATATTACTATAATATTTTCCTATTACCTCTACTTAATTATTATTGCATAGGAATTGTAATATACATTAGAGTTTTAATATTTGTATACATATGAGTGATTATTGTAAAATACGTGTACCTATATAGAATAATTACCGATGAAATTATAAGCAGTAGTTATTAAAAATGTGTTTAAGTTAAGTTATGCAAATTAATTCTATTAGGTACATATTAATTTATGTAATGTTCACACATAACAAAGTAGCATAAATAAAAAAAAAAATGTAAAACTAGGTACAATGTCAAAAGTTCACTATATTGTTTCTATACAGATGTACCCATATATAGTTCATTGCATAATAATTATAATTGCGAATATCGAGTAAAATCGTTATTATATTATACAGTTTACGAGTTTTTGTCGCATTATTTGATCATCTCCTCAAAAACTGTTAAAAATTTATATTTATCTGATAGAATACTTTAATATACTGATGAAAGGAAATAGGTACCTATAGTTATAGGCAAATGCGTATAACGAAATACAAGAATAAACTCGTTTAAATAGGTTATCAAAGATGTATATATATTTAAACACAAGACATATAGGTATACTGCAGTAGTTAGAAGAATTAACACACGTACAAGCTGATTTTTTTTTTAAACGATTTCGCAGACGAATTCAAAAAATATTGTATTTTTTTAAAATCATTTTAAAATTGAAATAATCGAACTTTTTAGCCATTTTTCGACAAATTTAAATAGGATTTCAATATTTATATATATATACCAAAGTATCGTAATTTATTATGATATAATAACACTGTGCGCGCGGCCCATTCGAGCTCTCGGTGATCATCTCGACGGCGTATACTATATTTTCAAGCATATCAGCTACTACACGAGGAAAATAACCGACTATTGAGAAACGATAAAAAAAAAAAAAAACAAAAAACGAGAACTACCTATAACTTAAGCGTGTGATATACCTATCGAATCGTCGATAAAACCTATGGGTATATAATTAATAATTATACACCCGACGTAAACGACTGTTTTCTACTAAGTAAATGAAATCGTTCTTACCTGGTGTCCGATATTTTTGGCGAGTTGTTGTGAAAACTGAGAAGTCATGGTACGCGGGAGACCCGCGGTTCAGAGACGTTTTCGCGGGACGCTCGCGCTACGAGACCACTACGACAACAACGGCCGGCGTCGCCGCGGTGCAGTCGTCGGCGGCGGCGGTGCGGGTTGCAGCGGCGGTGGTTGCGGTACTCGCGCAGCGATTCATTGGCCGCACGCCTATGCGGTCGCGGAGCGTGGACGACGACGATTCGACAAGACGAAACCGAAAAACCAAATGCGACGCGTGAACGAAATAAACAGACCGAAGAAATCCCGTCGTACCTACGTATATAATATTATATTGTTATGGTCTTCCTCTGACGGCGGCACAAGATTTCGACGGAAAGACGAGAATAAAAAAAAAAAAAAAAAAAAACTTCACTTCGTTCAGTTGCGTATTGCTCACACCACACAAAAGAATAGACTGTTTTATTATTCGACGCGTGCAAGTACGGTGGCGGGACGGTTTTATGTACACAAACGCGCGCGCGCGACATATAACAACACATGTATAATATATATATATTAGGTATATATAATCGGAGATGCGTTATAACCGTCGCCATAATAATATATTATCTGTCACGCCTATTATATGCGCTAGCATATTATTATATGGTAAGCAGCAGAGGTAGTAATAGTGCGATGATGATAATAAATATATAATATAAATATCGTACCGTTATTATTATCATTGCGCTTATAGAAATATTGTTTTGTGTAATATAAGAGCTGTCGCGGTCGAAACGACGACCGCCCGCAGAGTTTTGATTCTCATTGTTACACAAAAATATTAATCGCGTGGTACTGCTTATTATATTGATATATATATATATCATATTATTATAAAGAATATCTCTTGTTATTTATGTGTTTAACGCGCGAGTGATATATTAATATAATAATAATACATATACCTATATAGCTTTCCAGTCGCGTCGTGTAGTGTGAGTGATTAAAACTGACTATACGCCCTCGAGTAATGGACAAATTAGTGCGGTTTCGGCGTACCATTATACCGTTTATGCATCTATACATATATATATAAATATACATCTATATCTATATGTATTGAAACCAGTCGATTTCCTCTCGTTATCCATTCATCGCGATCGGTCGCCGCCAGCCCGCATCAGTGTGACACACGTCATTGGGTTTACGCCGCGACGCGACAATCGTAATTTAAAGCCATTTACTTATACACACACACACATACACATAAATATATAACCTATGTGTAGTGTATACATATTATACTATGAATTCACCATGACGGTTGAAGAGGCAGACGGTAAATCATATGTACTGGTGATAATAGTTTAATAAGCGAACGTCAACGATTTATTTCCGGCCGACCCGTTTCGCGTTGATCAGCCATATATAATAATAAATTACGCACCATGCAGTGTTGTGTTATTTGAATAAAATATAAAATAAATAATCTGGTAGTTTTGTGCTGCGTATACTATAGATTTGTTATATAGCATTTTGCAGCGTGTGATGACACCAGTTTGGTTTAAATCGATAATAATGTATTCTGCAGCATTTCATGTACATAACCGCCAACTAATGTATTATTAATATTGAAAAACAATTTGTGATAGAAAATGTGAATATTACTGGAGCGTAGCATAAATAAATTAAGTAGATACCTATATATTATAAATCAATCATCAGCTATATTTTTATAAAATAAAATCATCAACAATAAAATCTATTATACTTTATCGAATAATTTTTCAATATATATGATCATGGTTTTGCGTTTTATTAAGTAGCTATAATGCTAAAGTGTATAATATAAGAGGTATATATTTTAATACAAATATTTATGAGATGAATTAAAAATAACATTTTGTGTATATTGTATATTGTATATTTATGATATAAATGAATAAGCTGAAACAATATAATATATAGTTTAAATAGGTATAGAGCGTATAGTGAAAGTAATGCGTGTATATTTATATTATGACTACAGATGATAACATATGGAAGGGGTGAAACGGAAGTTTAAACCCACTGCACCCTGCACTGTAAATCTATGTTGAATGAAGTATTATAGACTCTATAGGCTATATAAAACCAATATCGCAGAGAATTTCAATAATATTATTGTAAAATTGAATAATTACAGCGCAATCAAATTATGTTATATAGACATATTGTGAGAATGGAAGAATAATATATCAAAAACAGAGTATCATAATGGATTAGATTTCGAATATGTGATATAAAGATATATGTGAATGCGTATACCTAATTACAAAATAGTAATAAGTTATCTATATGTTTATAATATATATACCGCTAATATGATGCTGCAGTAAGCTAAACGTGGCATAATTTAACAGTTATTATAGGTATAATAAGTATATATATGTACATATATTAATATATTATAAAATATGATGTTAGGAGATACACATATTCCTTATTTATTGTACGGATAATAAGTATAGAGGTAAAAATCAATGCCACTATGTTAACGTTGAAATAAGTGCTGTTTATGGTATATACACAGATTTAATTATAATATCATATAACATAATAAGATCATAACGCGTACAGCCGTTAAAACCAAAACACGGATAATATAATTAAAATCTTATACCACAGCAGACTATATATAGCGCAGGCGTTTACAATATTATAATACGTTTAAACATTTTAATCATTTTCAAAGGGGTGCGTATATACCACGTATACATATGATAGGGACGGTGCACTTTCTCCGTATATGACGGATACGGCTCGTAATTTTAAGTCTCCTCGGTTATATAGGGGTAGTTGTAGTCACTGCAACAGCATGTACGATAGAATATAAGAAAGGGTTTCGTGAACCGTGAGGCATATATATATATTTATTACATAAATTTACAAATATATACGCAGGACGCGAACCACCGGTAGCCGGCGCTTTGTCACTATACTCGCGGTTTCCGTCCAGTTTTCGGAAAACGCGGCGACTCCGCACGTTCCGACTACGAGCATCTAGTCCTAGGAGAGGATTTATTTTCCGCTCTCGCACCGCTACGCGTCACAGCACGCTTCGACTCGAATACGGATTAAGCGAACGGTGCAGCTGTATAGCCACCGCGATTATACTACCGCCGTAGTGATCAGTGTAAATATACCCACCTCCAAACGTCATATTACAGAATAATATCGTAATTATCATTCGCAAGTATCGTACGCGCGTCGAGGAGAACACGTCTCTCGCGAGACGGCAGCCGACGCGTGCAGGGTGTGCGGTAAAAGATCGACGAGCTGGCCCGATAACCGTCGTTGGCGGGTGGGTGTAGCGCATTCGTGTCGCGGGAACGTTGTGGTGAGCGTGCGTAGGCGCCTCCGTCGAGGCGGTGCTCGCGCGCGCGCTCCCGCGTATGTGTGCGCGTGTCGGCGTGTGTGTCCGTATTCGCCGCCGCCGCCGCCGCCGCCGCCGCCGCGCCGTTCGTTCTCCCCGCCGCCGCCGCCCACCCACCCCGCCGGCGCGACGATAGGCGGCCACTGCGCGCGCGCATCTACAAACGCGCGTGTGTCGTCCTCGCGGCCCGCTCTTGCTGCGTGCGTGTGCGTGCGCGTGTCGGCCGTGCTCGCAGCGCACGTCTCTCATTATAGGTACGCCGCGCCGCGGACAAGTCGCTACCGCGTAAACGTTCGTCGTCGTCCGCCGCTGCTGCCGCCGCCGCCGCCGCACAGCAGTCTGTCCCGCATAACCGACCCGTGTCGAACACGAACGCGCGCTACCTCGTAACACCACCTAATATAGACTCACGACAATAATAATATTATAATAATAGCGTACCTGTTATAATAAAATCGTTATTGAATGATAAAAATATTATAATAATAATTAAACATTATTTACGGAAAACAAGGTACTATACGGCCGAGTTAGGTGCGTGTTCGAGTTTTATTAATTTTTATTTA